ATTTTGTACAGCATCTTTTGGGGAGAAAGTTACAAAAGGCTTTTTCAAAAATTAAAACAAATGTCAAACTAAACAAATAATGAAAACCAATTCAAACAAATAAATGAGATCCTTAACATACAATACAACAGATTTAAAGAGTAAAGTCAAGTCAAGATGTTTTTGTTTTTCCTGTCTTGGTTTGTTTATTTATTTATTTTATATAGCACATTAAAGATAACAGCCATTGTGTCAAAGTCCCCCCCAGTTAAAATGAATCTGGCAGAATATTCAAGTAGTTTATTTGTAAAAACAAATTCATGAATTGATTTGCTCATCAATAATTCTGTTTATTGCCATTTAGTTTCTTTCTGTCTTTTTTTTTTTTCTTTTTGAAGAAAAGGTCTCGACTATTGGGAACCAAACTGGGGATTAAGGGTGTTACAGTATATGTGTTGTACTCCCTCTGCACTGTCTTCTGGATAGCCAATTGTTCATTACAGCTGAACTGGGAAACATCCAGCTATTGGTGTTGTTGCAACGACTCATGCATTGGTGTTGTGAAACCATACACATGCAAAGTAGACGCATAACATGTGGGGAAAGATACTTTTGAAACCTTTTGAAACCCACCCAGACAACATCACTGTCAAATTTTCAGATGACACAACAGTGGTGCAGTTGATTTCAAGGGGAAATGAGGCAGCCTACAGACATGAGGTCCTAAAACTTGGTGAGTGGTGTTCAGTGAACAACCTTAAAATGAACACCGCAAAAACCAAGGAAATCATCTTGGACATCAGGAGGAATAGTGCTGACCCCACCCCCTTATACATCAACGGTGAATGTGTAGAGAGGGTCCAGACCTTCAAATGCCTTGGCGTCCACATTTCTGCAGACCTATCCTGGTCTGAGAACACCACAGTGTTGGTCAAGAAGGCACAGCAGCAGATACACTTCCTGAGCGTGCTCTGGAAGGAACACCTGAACGCACGGCTGCTGGTGACCTTCTATTGCTCCTCAATAGAGAGCCTGCTGACCTACGTTGTCCTGGTTTCCACCTCTTTGACCTGTTGCCCTCTGGCTGGTGCTATAGGTCCATACAGTCCAGAATGAATAGACTCAGGAACAGCTTCTTCCCCAAAGCTGTTATCATACTCAGCTTTAATCTGCACTGAAACTGTGAATGCAGCCTGCACCGTATTGTCACTTCTATGTATATATAGTCTACCTCACTCACTACCACCTCACTCTGGGCAATACCCAACTATCACTATTCTATGGCAATTGTTCTTAAATCATGTTTTATAGTGTTTTATAGGGTTGTACAAAGTCTTATAATATATGTCTTTAATGACTCATATGTATATTGCTGGTGCACCTTGGGAGCAGCTCTTTAAATGTCATTGTACTTGCATAATGACAATAAAGATTTTCTATTCTATTCTATTCTATTCTATTCTATTCTATTCTATTCTATTCTATTCTATTTTAATCATTTCTTAGTCCATCAAAACTTTCTTTAATTCCTTCCATAGACATGTACAGGGCTTGTTAACTTTTTTGTGAGAAAAAAATGTTTACTGCAAACATGTATAATAATACTGTGTCAGCTAAATGCACACAATTCGATTTTTGTACTGTACATTGTAACTGAAATAAACCATTCATTCATTCATTCATTCATTCATTCATTCATTCATTCATTCATTCATTCATTCACTAAGACTCTGTCAATACTGATATATATATATATTTTTTTGTTTGTTTTTGTTTTTTTTTTTGTTTAAAAGCAGCTACTAAACAGACTTTTATGTGAGATTGTTTTGTCTGTGTCCAAAATCAGTGAACAGAATCTTGACTGATACTCAGCATGATTTTAAAAAAGTTTGTCATTGGAGAACGGAGACATAGAATTACTTTGAATCCATTTTTATGTTATATTTGTGCCACTAGATGGAGCCATTGACATTTGTAATGCTATGAAATGTGTTTGCGTTGCACAGAATAAGAAAGGCTTCTTTATAAGATTAATATTAAGTAAATATTGAACTTAATGAATTGTGCTGGAAGCTATATATAAATATTTGGTTTTTGCTGCGTTTACATTGTTTGCCATGTTTGTTTGCATGTATGTGTTTGCGTGTTGCTTTATTTGTAGCTGGTGTTTGAATTTGCTTGTGTTGTATTTGTCTTTATGTTTTCTTCTTTTTGCAGCTCTCAGTTATATCTGTGCTTGGACATGTGTCCTTTTTCATATTTGAGTCCATCTTTTTGCTGAAAATTTTACGTTTCCATTTGTGTCTGATATATGTTTGTGTTCTCCTACTTTTGTCTGTGTGTGTGTGTGTGTGTGTGTGTGTGTGTGTGTGTGTTGGCCTGTTGCACGTACAGGTGTACTTTCATGGCCCTTGTGGACCCTTGACATGATTAGGGGTCCAGCAGGAGCCTCAGAGCAGAGAGCAACAGCACCGAGGAGCTGATGGAGTCCTGAGTCTGGGGGCCGCTTTCTATTGTCCCCAGTAATTGGATTTGGTCTGGGAGGAGAGATGGCTGCCAGCGAGAGGCAGCGATCATTAGGTGTGAATGAGACGTGCTACGACACACACACACACACACACACACACACCTACACACATACACACACATACACACACACACAATGGACAACAAATACATACACGTGTCCACATTAATCCACATCAGTCTGAAATTGCTGTTTTCATGTCAAACACCATTTTGCCCACAAGATCATTTTCCCAAAGATCCCGCAGCAAACAGCAGTTAAATCTCTTCATTGTCACTATTCCCATTACTGCATTCTGCCAGAATAATATTGTCAAACGGGCTTCAGTTGAGCTGAACTACATAGTC